CTTTCACACATCCAAACAGTGGTGGCAACAATTGTTCCCTTCCCACATCCAACCAGTGGTGGCAAAAATTGTTCCATTCCAACATCCAACCAGCGGTGGCAACAATTGTTCCATTCCAACATCCAACTAGTGGCGGCAACAATTGTTCCATTCCCACATCCAACCAGTGCAACAATTGTTCCATTGTAACATCCAACCAGTGGTGGCAACAATTGTTCCATTCCCACATCCAACCGGTGGTGGCAAAAATTGTTCCATTCCCACATCCAACCAGCGGTGGCAACAATTGTTCCATTCCCACATGCAACCAGTGGTGGCAACAATTGTTCCATTCTCACATACAACCAGTGGTGGCAACACTTGAAGCCAAGGGAAAAAAAAAATACACAAGTTCCTATTGCAATTTGTTATTTTGGACCATGTGTCTGCTTGATGTCCGTCCATATTCTCTTTGATTACTTTATATAATTAAAATTTAAAAAACAAAACAAAAAAACAGTTTCCCTTCTTTGTGTCAATGCTAGTTGATATTTTCAGTTGTTGTGTCAATCAAAATTTGTTTGGTTTTCAATAAATATCATTTTTTGGCATAAATGATCATCTGCTAAAGCAATGTCTCCCTGTGTGAGGGTTTTGCTCTGAAAAGGGGGGGGGGGCAAATTATTTAATCTCTGAGAAAGAACCAATCAAAAAAGGGGAAAAAATGGGAGGGGGTGAGACAGTATACTTTTAAAAGTTAATCCCTGCTATTATTTGTAATGGCTTGATTTCCAGATACATGGCACTTGCTGTGAGTTTTATTCTACAAATATGGCTTGGAAAACTACATCCAGCGGACAACATCCGACCCGCAACTTTTGTGCAGACATTATGCAAGGAGGTAGACAAATCCATTGCATAATTTTATTTGGACTGGACAAAATTAAAGTGTGTCGCAGCAAAGGGACAGACAGGATAGGGCGGTGAACTTTTTTTTTTTAGGTGCTCAGCTCGAGCGTGCGGGGGTTAAAAAAAGATTGGTTAAAAACTAGACTAGTGATTTTAGAAAAATTTTGGGACATCATTCTTACCTTAAATCTGAGCCTGCTCTCCCCTATCTCTCTGTTATGTTTGTGATGGTTCATCATCATCTCCTCATGACAGTCTGACCAGAAGTGCATCATGATCTGGGCACTCTCCTAAAAGTTCATCTCAATGAAGTGGGTCATTTGGGGTCCGACCTACAAGAGCCACGACAACAATTATATGACGCTATTCATCACTGTAAAAATATTCTGGGAATGTCTGCCATTCATCACTGTACACACATTCTATGAATGTCTTCCAATGTACACATATTCGACGTATGTCTACAATTCATCACTGGACACACTCTCTATGAATGTCTTCCAATTGTGCACATACTCACATAGCTCTTTATGAACATCTGCCATTCATCACTGTACACGTATGTCTTGAAGTCATCAAAAAATGTGGGACTCATGGATGACTTGGGTAGATGAGGGAGATGAATGCTGGTGGTCAAGAGTTCTTGACCTTTCTCAATCAGAGCTCTCAGCACAGGCATCATGTAGGCATAGTTGTCCAAGTTGGCTAGGGAAATCAATGCATTTAATAGTCAGGTTTCATGAGGTGCAAGGGCTTATTCAGTTCTTTGTAACATTAAAAGGAATTTTTGTTAATAGATGTTTAACAGTTGGGCATCTGATATTGTTTTGAAATTTCAATAGTGGTGTTCCGGAGATTATTTTGAATCTTAGGGTATCTGATATTGTGGGGTAAATGAACAAAGTTGAGTTTTGGGGTAATAGAAACAAAGTTGAATAGTGCTGTACCTCAAATTGTTTGGAATAGTGGGGTATCTGAAACAATGTTCGGTTACGTTGATTTTATTGAACAATTTAAATCTCAACACTGCCAACATCGCTGTAACTCCCAACACTGCTGTAACTGCCAACATCGCTGTAACTGCCGACACCGCTGTAAATGCCAACACTGCTGTAAATGCCAACACTACTGTAACTGCCAACATCACTGTAACTGCCAACATCACTGTAACTGCCAACATCACTGTAACTGCCAACACCCCTGTAAATGCCAACACTGCTGTAAATGCCAACACCGCTGTAAATGCCAACACCGCTGTAAATGCCAACACCGCTGTAAATGCCAACACCGCTGTAAATGCCAACACCGCTGTAAATGCCAACACCGCTGTAAATGCCAACACCGCTGTAAATGCCAACACTGCTGTAAATGCCAACACCGCTGTCAATGCCAACACTGTTGTCAATGCCAACACTGCTGTAAATGCCAACACCGCTGTCAATGCCAACACTTCCAAAACCGCTTTCAATGCCAACACTGCTGTAAATGCCAACACCGCTGTCAATGCCAACACTGCATACACTGCTGTCAATGCCAACACTGCTGTAAATGCCAACACCGCTGTAAATGCCAACACTGCCAACACTGCTGTCAATGCCATCACTGCTGTAAATGCCAACACCGCTGTCAATGCCAACACTGCCAAAACCGCTGTCAATGCCAACACTGCCAACACCGCTGTAAATGCCAACACTGCTGTAAATGCCAACAATGCTGTCAATGCCATCAGTGCTGTAAATGCCAACACTGCAGTTAATGCCAGCACTGTCATTCTTATGACTGCCATTCAGTTATCAACATAAATCATGAGGGATAAACCCTTCACCTTGGAGACACAGCTACAAAGCTAAACGCAAGTGAAGTAACTTATAAGTACCTTCAATGGACTTAATGATCATTGAGTTCAAGTCCCCCAGGATGTAGGAAGCTTCGGCCGAGCTGCTGATGAGCTTGGTTTGGACGAGGGAGTGCAGCCTGACAGTTGACGAGGACACCAGCTGTGAAATAAGGGTCAAAATGAACAGTGAAAATAAACTGGAGTATGAACTGAAACTTACTAAGATTTTACTCAATGATGCTTATATCAATGATTCAATCATCCAAAAATTTTGACGTTATTTCATTATTTTTTTCTCTACAACTTTTGAGTCTCATTGAGACGACGATGGTGAAGTGCCGCAACATGTGTCTCTGAGACCTCTCATTGAGACGACGATGGTGAAGTGCCGCAACATGTGTCTCTGAGACCTCTCATTGAGACGACGATGGTGAAGTGCCGCAACATGTGTCTCTGAGACCTCTCATTGAGACGACGATGGTGAAGTGCCGCAACATGTGTCTCTGAGACCTCTCATTGAGACGACGATGGTGAAGTGCCGCAACATGTGTCTCTGAGACCTCTCATTGAGACGACGATGGTGAAGTGCCGCAACATGTGTCTCTGAGACCTCTCATTGAGACGACGATGGTGAAGTGCCGCAACATGTGTCTCTGAGACCTCTCATTGAGACGACGATGGTGAAGTGCCGCAACATGTGTCTCTGAGACCTCTCATTGAGACGACGATGGTGAAGTGCCGCAACATGTGTCTCTGAGACCTCTCATTGAGACGACGATGGTGAAGTGCCGCAACATGTGTCTCTGAGACCTCTCATTGAGACGACGATGGTGAAGTGCCGCAACATGTGTCTCTGAGACCTCTCATTGAGACGACGATGGTGAAGTGCCGCAACATGTGTCTCTGAGACCTCTCATTGAGACGACGATGGTGAAGT